CAGGAGTAGCAACAGCAGCAACAGCAGCACCAGCAAAAGCAGCAGCAGCAGCAGCAGCAGCAGCAGCAGGCAATGAGGGCTTTTGAGGGCCTTCGAGGCCCTTTTGCTGCTGGGGCATTTTCTGCGCAAAATATCCGGGGGGGATTTCGGGGTGTCTGTACACCTCAGGGGGGCGGGGGGGTTGCTGCTGCAGCAGTTTGGGGTGTATCTGCACCTCGTTTTCCGGGATTTTTTCGCGGAAATGGATTTAATTTTGGATCAAATAATGCAAAAAACGAAATTAATTCATTTAATTCTTTTTGGCAGCAAAAAGCAGCGAAAAGTTCGCAGCAAAAGCGGCTTTTTGCGGGGCCTTCGGGTGTACGTACACCCGAGCTGCCTATACACCTCAGCTGCAGCAGACGCAACTTCTCCTCAAATGCTTTTAAGTCAAATGCCTCTTTGCAGCATTTTGGATTTGTCTCTGTGCCCCACCAAATGGCCTACGTCGTAGAGAGGTAAGGGTTTAGGGTTTAGGGTTTAGGGTTTAGGCTTTGTGGGGGTTTGGCAGGTGTTTATGGCTTTTTAATCTTTAATCAAACTTAAAACCACTAAAATAATTAAATGTCTTTTTCTGGTTTTGCAAATGGTGGAGATGTCGTTTTGAATTTTAATTTTGTTTTTATATCCGCGTTTGCTTCGCACATCCGCTTTTTCCTTCAAGATTAGGGTTTAGGGTTTAGGGTTTAGGGTTTAGGGTTTAGGGTTTGCAATCCGGAGGCTTTTGGAAGAAAGCAACCACGAACCTCCCCCGAAATCCCCCAAGGGGCCCCCAAGGGGGCCCCCTAGGGGCCCCCGAGCGGGCCCCCTAGGCCCCATAGGGGGCCCTCTAGGGCCCCCCAGGGGGCTCTCTAGGGGCCCCCAAGAGGGCCCTCTATAAGCGCCCAAGGGGGCCCTCTAGGGGCCCCCCTGGGGGCCCCCTGGGGGCCCCCGGGGGCGCCCCCGGGCCCTCGAGTGGAAGAAGTGACCAGTGGTCCACGAGTGGCTGACCAGTGGTCCAATGCATGCAGTGCATGCGCAGGTTTGGGCGTTTCTCGCGAGTGCTGCCTCCGGGTCTTCACTTTTTGATTCCCGTAGTTGACCGGGTGGCTTATGTGCATTCTTTGAAAGAGGAGGCGTTGGCGATATCGAACCAGTCGGCGATCACGCGGGATAATGTGAGCAGCAGCAGTTTTAAGTGCCAAAAGCTTTTTAAAATTCAAAAATGCTTCAAAAATATGGTTTATTTCCTTTTTATTTCCAGATTTCGCGCAAGTTCCACTCCGGGGCCGGCAGCGCCACGCGCGCGCGGCCGCCGGGAGCCGAGCGCCCGCCGGTTAAATGCGCAGCAAACGCAGAAAAGGCTCTCTAAATTTGAAAATAAATATATATTTGAAAAGAAAGAAAAAAAAGGAATTAATTTGACATTTATTTCGCCGTTTTTCGCAAAAGAAAAGTCCGCTTGGCCGCTGGCCGTTGGGGTGTATGCGCAGGTCACTCTGCAGATCGACGGCGTGCTGTACGTACAGGTCAAGGACCCTTACCGGGTGGGTTTTTGGGTTGTTTTGTCGCATTTTTCGCCATTTAAATTATTTTTTTGAATTTAATTGGAAGTAAAGGACAAACTGCAGCAAATGGGAGCTTTTGGGGTCCGTTTTTGCGGCTCCAGGCCTCCTACGGAGTGGAAAACCCCATTTTCGCGGTCACCCAGCTGGCGCAGACCACCATGCGTTCCGAGTTGGGAAAACTGAGCCTCGACGAGACTTTTTTGGAAAGAAATTCGCTAAATAAAAACATTGTGGAGGTATTTAGCGATTTGCAGTCTTTTAAAGCGAAATAAAAGGCTTTTTTTCGCCTTTTCCGCGCAAAATGGAGCTGTTTTTCCCCTTTTTCCTCCAGGCCATTAATGCTGCTGCGGGGCCCTGGGGCCTCAGCTGCATGCGCTACGAAATCAAAGACATCATTCCCCCCCTCAGCGTAAAAATGGCAATGGAAAAACAAGTAGGTTTTATTTATTTATTATTTATTAATTGTTTATTTATTTATTATTTGTTTATTTGTTATTCATTTATTTGTTTGTTTATAGTTAGTTGTTATTTGTTATTATTTGTATTATTTATTTTTGTTTGCGTTAATGCGAAATCAAAGACATCATTCCTCCCCTCAGTCCAAAAGTGGCGGTGGAAAAACAAGTAAGTTTTATTTATTTATTTATTTATTTATTTAGTATTTGTTTATTTGTTTATTTGTTTATGTATTTGTTGTTGGAAAACAAGTAAGTTTTATTTATTCATTTATTTATTTATTTATTATTTATTATTTATTATTTGGTATTATGTATATCGTTTATCTTTATTTACGAGTAACTTTTGTTTTTATTTATTTATTTATTTATTTACTTATTTATTTATTTATTATTGGTTATTATTAACTTTTATTTATTTATTTTTACTTTTATTTTTTTAGTCCCTTTAGAGGCCTTTTCAACTCCTTTTATTGTCTCCTTTTCCCTTTTTGTTTTCTTTTTTTTTCTCTTTTCTTTTTTTTGTTCCCTTTTGAGAGAGACTGGCGCTTGCTTCTGCTGCTGCTGCTGCTGCTGTTGCTGCTGCTTCTGCTGATGCTGCGGCACCTGCTGATTATGCCTCATCTGTTGCTGCTGCTGCTGCTACTGTTTATGCCCCATCTGCTGCTGTTGCTGCGCCTGCTGATTATGCCTCATCTGCTGCTGCTGCTGCTGCTATGCCTCATCTGCTGCTCCTGCTGCTGGTTATGCCTCATCTGCTGCTGCTGCTGATTATGCCTCATCCGCTGCTGCTGCTCCTGACTGTGCCTCATCTGCTGCTGCTGCTGCTGATTATGCCTCATCTGCTGCTGCTGCTGCTGCTGCTGATTATGCCTCATCTGCCGTTGCTGCACCTACTGACTATGCCCCATCTGCTGCTGCTACTACTGTGCCTCATCTGCTGCTGCTGCTGCTGCTGCTGCTGCTAGGCGGAGGCGGAGCGTCTGAAGCGTGCGGAAGTGCTGCGGAGCGAAGGAGACAAAAAGTGTTTAATAAATAGAGCTGAGGGAGAAAAGGAAGCAGCAACTTTGAGTGCAGCAGCAGCAGCAGCAGCAGTTCGACTGCGAGCAGCAGCAGCAGCAGACAGCGTCCGCCTAATTGCTGCCAGCGCCAGCATCCCGGGTCAGCCACCAGACTCCTCTTATCTTTTTATTTCTTTTATTTCTTTTTATTTCTTTTATTTCTCTTTATTTCTTTTTATTTCTTCTATTTCTTTATTTATTTTGTCTATCTTTTTACTCTTATTTATTCATTTTATTTATTTACTTATTTTATTTATTTTATCTTTTTAATTTTCCACCTTGCATTTAAATCTGAAGAAGTGCAGCAGCGAATTGAATGCCCAGAAGAAAGTGCCAAGAGAGGCATTTGAGCATCCTTTTGCATTTAAAGGACTTCAATTTATTAAAAAAGTATTTAATTATATAATTAAATTAGATTAAATTAAATTAATTAATTAAATTAAATTAAACTAGGTTAAATTAAATGAAACGCAAAACTGGGAAAAGAGCGAAGACGCAGGGTGCCTGGGGTGTCTGTACACCTCAGCGCATGCGCGCAGTTTTCGGGTTTTGTTCGCGGGACAAAAATATGGAAATAAAGGGGATTTAAATGATTTAAAGTGGAATAAAAAGGGAAATAAAAGAAAAAGGAATGAAGTATTTGAATTTGCTTTTTAATTTGCTTTTATTTTTCTTTTGCTGCGCTGCAGGAGGCCCCGAGGCCCTGCGGGTCCAGCTCGCAGAAAACTATATTGCTGCTTTTGGCAAACTTGCTGCCAGCAGCAGCAGCAGCATTATTGTTCCTGCTGATGCTGCTGATGCTGCAGCAATGGTGGCCAAGGCTTTGGGTGTCTTCGGCGCCACCAGCAGCAACTGTCAGCCTTCTGCTGCTGCTGCGTTGCTGCTGCTGCTGCGTTGCTGCTGCTGCTGCTTCGTTGCTGCTGCTGCTGCGTTGCTGCTGCTGCTGCTGCTGCGAGAGCGCGCGCCTCCGCTGCTGCTGCTGCTGCTCAGTTGCTGCGGAATTGCTCCTGCTGCTGCTAAAGTGCTGCCGAGTCGCTGCTGCTGCTGCTGCTGCCGAGTTGCTGCTTCCGCTGCCGACTTGCTGCTGCTGAATTGCTGCTGCTGAATTGCTGCTGCTGCTGCTGCTGCTTCTTAAATATTTAATTTATTAACTGTCTTCTTTTGGTTCTTTTTGCTGCAGTGGCGCCGCAGCTGTCTGGCAGCAGCGAGAAGAAGCCCCCGCGCGCTGAGGTGTAGCTACAGTGGATTTAATTATTTGTTTCAATTAAAGTTTAAAAAAATAAGATGGATTTATTCAATTCAAGGAATAAACTTTCCCCGAAAGGACCGGAGCTCGGCTGCTGCAGCAGCAGCTGCAGCAGCAGCTGCAGCTGCTGCAGCTGCAGCAGCAACAGCAACTGCTGCAGCTGCTGCTGCAGCCGCAGCAGCACATGCTCTCAGCTGCGAACCTGACCCCTGCGGCTGCATGCGCTGCAGCGGCCCTTGCGCATGCAGCCACTTGGGGCTTTGAAAAATGCCGCAAAATACATGCATGCATGCATGCATCCGGGGCCCCAAATGCATGCATTTCCGCACGCATGCATGCATGTGTGCATGCATGCATGCATGCATGTATGCATGCATGTGTGCATGCATGTATGCATGCATACATGCATGCATGTATGCATGCATACATGCGTTCCAAAGGCATGCATGCATGCGTGCACGCATGCATGCGAACAGCCCCAAGCGCGTGCATGCAAGCAGCCCCCAGCGCATGCATGCATGCACGCATGCATGCATGCACCTTGCATTGCATGCAAAGCAGCCATTCCATTTATCGACGAGCTCTACACTTCAGGTTCTCCTGTCCGGGTGTACGTACACTGCAGGGGCTGGGGGGGCCCCCCCGCGCCCCCCCCGGGGC